CAAATCGGGTCAGAGTCGGGTTAGAGTCGGATTGGGGTGAGCGCTTTTACGGTGGAAACACCAAAGGTTTAGTTGAACTCTACCCTACAAAATTTTAGGGTAGCGTTCAATTGGGTTCGGTGGAAACGACAAGAGTCGAGTTCGTGTTGCCAACATAACAAATCCAAATTGCATTGTGTATCACGTGTTGTATTAATCGGTGTAGAAGAGGTTATTATTACTTTTTGTCGGTGATCTTGTAATCTGAGAAATAATTTTTGTATGTTATTTTGATATTGTAAAATTAATATTGCTCAGCTTTACATGTCAGAATATGGTAGTTGACTTTGTGCAGTTGGTAATGTTCAACCCTGCCGCAACTCCAACCCGCGACTCAAACCCGACTCTAACCCGACTCTGACCCGATTTGAACCCTCGATGGAAACGTAGTCATAGTTGATATATTTATACATAGATTGTAATGGTATATTAATAATATAACAATTTATATTTAATCAATGCTTTTAATTAACATTATATAACTCTTTCTGGCCGTATGAGTTTTAGGTATGTGTTCTTTGTTGATTGGAATTGTTTGCACTCACTCAGTGAACGAGGTACACTTGGTCAGTTATTACGCGTAAAACATAAATACTATTTAATTTTTGTTCAAAAAATTTCGAATTCTTGAATTCTCAAAAATCGAAATTTTCAATAATTTTAATAATTTTTAAATAGAAATTTAGTAGAAATTTAATAATTTTTAAATTTCTACATTTTCAAACCCCAAATTTTTGAATCCTTATACTTTGAAATTCTTAAATTTGTGAATTCCTAAACACTGAAATTTCCAAATTTTCAAACTTTAACATCCCCAAAACTTCTTAAATTTCCACATCAAATTTTTATACATAACAAATGTTTTTACTTCTTAACATACGTGTCAACTATATAAACAATGTTTTTAATATATTCATAAAATATAATAATACATTAACGAAATAATAATAGACAATCAAAGAATTTTTGATTATAATTAACAATTTTACTTAAAATATCAAATGTATTCAGGATATAAATACCGTTTCCATCATATCACCTTCGTATTGGAAGTATGAAGCATGAACTTTGACGCATTTATGGACGCACTTGATAGTAGAATTAGCGTTTGACCATTTTTGTGTGACTTAGAATTTATGAAACTTTTTGCCCACTGAGTATATACACTCAGCATCACAAAAGTTGTAAAGGCGCTTGCGCTTCGTTCTTGGTTACAAAGCGTGCATGAACCAATCAGAGTTGACATGCGTAGAATGATAAAAAAACGTGGGGGATAATGAATATGATCTCTCATTGGAGGAAGTAACACACTACGAATACAAGATTTGTTTAAATAACCATCTATTTGATATAAAATGATTGCACTAAAAGGAAATTATAAAGTAAAGTTGACTACGTTATTATATCGAACAGAAATTTGTTGATACTTCTTTTTTTCATGATATAATATGACTATGTGTTACCTTACCTCTGCAGTGTAACAGGAATCAAAAGTTCATAATCTGCGTCGATAATCATAACAGTGCGCCGTTGTTTCGCAGTATGACGACACATTATCGTTCTAGATGGAAATAAAGTCACTAGTCATTATCATTTTTTTTAATCTTCCTGTTTATATCAGGGACGTTACGTAGAGTTTCGCAGCAATGAAGCGGACTGTATTTAGTAATCGTTCAGTCTAGAGGAAGGCAGTTGTTGAAGTACAATGGGTTTAGAGGATTACAGAGAAATCGTGGCAACATGTGCCACGATTACTTCAATGGGACAAATGTTATCTGGAACGTGAGTTGAAAAATTTAAATATTTTTTTACTTTTGATTTATGAATTTAGTAGAAATACAATGCTCGATTATAGTTAGGAAAGATATGTTTTTGACTAAAAACATTTGATAGAATATAAGAAGATACGAGTATCATGTGATTATGACATTTACATTTAAATTTCTCTATTGATATTTCTTTTGTATGAAATATTTATTATATAATTAATTTTTTGATTTTTGTATCGTATGTTACGATAATATCATTAGTTTATGAAATTATTAATTCTAATTTTATGTGATTTGGAAATTTATATTTTATTTCGCAACTGTTAATTATGTTTGTACATTTAATGTATTGAGTTATTTTATAATTATTTTAATGAAATAACTATAATATAATATTAAAATTTTAATTTCGTTACTATTTTCATTACTTCATTGGGAAACTGTTTCTTGCAACATAAGTTATTTTATAATTGTAGAATAAAATGTGAAAGTAGCTTGAATATTTATTTGCATTTATTCACTAGACTTTTTTGAACTTACGTAAATAAATAGTAACTATATATTATTAAAATATTTTATATTTAATGAAATATTTTTTTAAAATCATATTTTGTAATTTCAAACTTTATAGTTGTTTCAATATAGAAGTAAAGAATAGATTGATATATATGTTATTATTTTTAATATAGAAAAATAATAGTAATGTGTAATATTTATTTATGGTTTAATTTTAGATTAATGTGCAAGGATATTTATAAGAAAGGTTCATCGAAAGGTGTAGACCCAATGCCTTTTTTGGGTGGTATAGGAATGTAAGTTATTTATTAATGTTTCACACAAAAAGCATTTAACTTTATGAAATGAAGTTAATTAGATCCAATGATAATTTTTTATTTGCAATGAAAACATTTTGCATTTGTTATAAATTTAGACAAAAACAATAAATAATAACATGAATTACACAGATAGATATATAATAAACCAAGAATCTTTTATAGGTGCATTTTAATGCTTCAGTATGCATGGATCTTGAAGGATCCTGGAATGATTAATATTAATGTCTTTGGAGTACTTGTAAATACAGCATATATGGCTGTATATTATTATTACTCATCACACACGGTATGAGTCTATATTTATAAATTAAAATGCATGACGTTGCTTTTGTATGTTATTTTGTTCAAACATATTTTATTTCTTCATGAACTTTTATTTTTTACATTTTTAATTTAATAAGTAGAACATATTGTAAGCTATGTCTTGTTGTACTATATATGAAATTCTGAACTTAATACGGAGAGAAATCCAATAGGTATATATAAGGTTCTCAGAAGTATACCTTAACTCTGTGCAAAAATTTTAACCTATTTAATGCTTCAAATTTCACTGTTCATGTTTCTTATAGTGTTCAATGTATTGACTACAAAGCTGCTAATCCCTTTTTTTGTATATGTAGCTTTTGAGAAATTTGATTTTGGAAAGAAGAACGTATTTTCAAGTATAAATAAATTTACTAACTTAATTACAAGAAATATTTCATTTTTATGCGCATCAAAAGGGGCTGTAGACTTTTTTGAATATAATAATGTTACTTTTGAATACATTATAAATGCTTGAATATATTTGAATGATCATTAAAGCTTACCACTAAAGAGTGATACTGACTGAGTGATACTCATATCAGTTCTTTAGAATATTTTTTAATTTATTTTGAAAAGTAATTATCTACAGCAAAATTAAACAGAGCAGATTTTCATTATGTCTGAAATTTTTTCATTAAATCAAAAATTCTAACTCAGAAGTTTTCAATATCATAGGTACCCAAAATTAGAAATATAAAAATTATAAAGATACAGAAATTTTCGAAATCACAAATTATTGAGTTCAAAAATATTGAAGTTTATAGACTTAAAATTGGAACTTCGCAAATTTAAGAATATAGAAACTTGTAAAGGGTATAGCCGGATAAGGTAGTCAAATGTGCCCTTGATTCGAATCAGAATCCCAGTTCATCAGTCGATAGCATATCCAAAAAAAACATCTCACACCAAGTTTCAACCCCCTATCTCATCCGTGGGGGTAGTAAAAGGGAAAAAACGAAATTTCGGTTTTTGGCCCTTTTTGCCTATTTAATTTCGTACAAAAATTCTGAAAAAATTCTAAAACATTGAGGTCCAGATAGCGCATATTATAGAATTTTTTTCTGTCGGAGCACTACTTTTATATTAATGTGGTAGTTAGATATTAGTACAACTATTATTCTCTAATTTTTTCAGATTTTTCGGTGAGGTGCGCCGTAGTTTAAAAAATCAAAAACCGATTTTTTCGCGCGAAAAACAAACTTCTGCTTTGAATTTTTATGTCATTTTCCCATAAAAGATGCATTAAGTAATTTTAAGAGGATTCACGTTCACACAATTGATTTATGGATTACAACAATGAAATTAACTTAATTAGTTAGTTTTATGATACGTTCTTTATATATGTAAATGTTCGAAGGTCTTCCAACGACATCGGTGGCGCAACGGTTAAGGGGGGCAATATCTTTGTTTTGCGTTTTTGAAATTTCAGGTATAATTTATTATAATTATTGCCTATAACACAATATTTTTTGTTTTTAAATACATTTAAAAATGGCGGAATTGTAACAATCCTTTCTGGAAGTGTTTGGGCGCGTCTCGTGAATCGGTGTGGGTTCTAGCTTTAGATATATTGGTCTGAAACAAGTTTGCAGACAATGTTTCGAAAACTAACATTTACAGTTAGTAGATGAACCTCAGAAATGTGCAAAATGTGTAAAATTAAAAAAATGGCGCGCTTTTAAAGAAAAACTTTGAATTTTACTAAAAATTTCTGCAATATTTTGCAATAAAAAAGGACTTTAATGTTCAATTTATTTCATATGTTAGATACTATTGTCATGGATATGTGCAAAAAATTTGAGCGCGATTGATAAACTAGTTTTTGAGTTATCAGCCACACCAA